CCCCCACCCCTCCCAGCCCCAAACCATCCCCCTTTGCAGCCCCACACCTTTATCCTTTGCACCCCCAAACCATCACCCCTTCCAGCCCCAAACCATCACCCTTTGCAGCCCCACACTTTTATCCTTTGCACCCCCAAACCATCACCCCTTCCAGCCCCAAACCATCACCCTTTGCAGCCCCACACTTTTATCCTTTGCACCCCCAAACCATCACCCCTTCCAGCCCCAAACCATCACCCTTTGCAGCCCCACCCTTTTATCCTTTGCACCCCCAAATCATCACCTCTTCCAGCCCCACAGCATCCCCCTTTGCACTCCCACACCCTTATGCTTTGCACCCCCAAACCGTCACCTCTTCCAGCCCCATAGCATCCCCCTTTGCAGCCCCACACCTTTATCCTTTGCACCTCCACACCTTTGTGCTTTGCACCCCCAAACTGTCACCCCTTCCAGCCCCACAGCATCCCCCTTTGCAGCCCCACCTTATCTCCCAGCCCCACTGCCTCAGGACCACGTCTGCCGTGCCACCCATGCCCCGGGCCCCCTCCCCACGGTGCTGGCAGCCCCCCCGTGCCCAGTGGCCACCAGCCCCCCCGGCCGGGGATGTTTCCCTGGCTCCTACCCGGCACCTTTTGGCAACGGCGCCAGTTTGGGGAGGCCAAACCAGTTTGGGGAGGCCCGTCCCTGCTCCCACAAGCCCGGGGGGGGACTGGGGCGTTGGCAGGGCTGGGACCCACAGCCTGGTGCACCCCCGGCAGCACCGGGATGCCCGGGGCGGGGGGGATGGGGACGGGATGCTGCCCAAACCGGTCCCGGGATGCCCGCGGCCGCCCCATCCCTCCCCACAGGGGGTTTTTGGGCGGCTGCTGAGCCCCACGGGGGGAGCCGCTGGCTCTGGGGGTTGGCGTCTCCTGCTTCTCCTTCTCCTCCTCCCTCCCAGCTTGCTTTTTTTCTTGTTTTTCAAGCCCAAATTGGGAAGCGCCGTGGCCCCGAACGCCGCCCTTCCCGGCTGCCTTTGGCCGCGGCCCCTTGGCTCCCTCCTTCCACCCCACATCCTTATTTTCTTTGGTGCTGGCCCCAAAGGGTCACTCCCTGCTCCATATTCCCCCCCCAACCATGGGGCTGAGGCTGTAGAGGATGCCCCCTACCCCAAAACCCCCCTCCCCATAGGGATGGCTGTCCTTGGACCACATTTTTTGTCACATCCCGGGGCGGGTTGGCACCGGTGGGGACAAAGCTCCACCCGGGCTTAATTTTAGCTTGTCCCTCGCCCGCTTGTGACCCCGGTGCTGCCCTTCTCCCTCTCCACGGGCTCCGGGGAAGGGGCTCCTGGTCCCTTGTCCCTTTTCCCTTGTCCCTTGTCCCCAAGCTCCTGCTGGGATTTCCATCTGCGTGGCTGCTGCTCCCGGGAACATCAGCTTCCACTTAGTGGGGGTTTTGCCTTTCCTGCCTCTCCGGGGCCGCTAAACAGGAGCAGATGGGGAGGAAGGGGGTGGGCACAGGCGTGGGGAGCAGTGGGGGTGCTGAGTCTGGCCCCCCCACATCCTAAAATCCCCCTGGCCCCAGCCTGGAAGAGGAGGAGAAGCAGCCCCGGAGCATCCCTGCATCCCTCCCGGGGAGCACCCATCCCTCTGGGGACCAGGAAAAA